GAGGGATTCCTTCTCACCACTGGCAAGGATGCACTCATCAAACTCTGGGATATGACATCTCAGCACTGTATCGAAACCCATGTCGCTCAAACAAATGGAGAATGCTGGGCTTTAGGGACTTCACCGGATGGTAGTGGGTGTATCACGGCTGGAAACGATGGGGAAATGAAAGTGTGGTCTATTGATACAGCCGGTCTATACAAATTATCGAAACAGGTGAACGGTGCAGTTGAAGCTCGATATCTCCAGGGTAGAGGAATTTTACATCGACAGGGAAAAGATAGGGCACTCGAAATCAGTTTCCACCCACGCTTAGATTACTTTTCGGTTCATGGTTCGGAAAAGTCGGTTGAAATATGGAGGATACGATCAGAAGAGGAAGTAAAAAAAAGTTTAGCAAGAAAGCGCAGGAGAAGAAGAGAAAAGTTGGCCGCAACTGAGAAGTCAGCTATGGAAGTTGACGAAGTGGATGAAAAGGTCGAAGACATTTCAACTGCTGATATCACAGACTTTTTCGTCCCATACGTCATTGTTAGAACGGGAGGTAGAGTTCGATCCATTGATTGGGTACGCATCAAAGGCACCAAATCGATACAATTGCTTATAGCAACTTCGAACAATCAACTGGAGGTCTACACAGTAGTCACGAAAGAGAAGAGTAAGAAATCTAAGAGCGAAGAAATGCCGGATTACTCAAGAACACTATCAGTCGAAATGCCAGGTCACAGAGCAGATATAAGAGCGTTGGCACTGAGTTCCGATGACAAAATGCTGGCATCAGTATCCAATGGTGGTATCAAAATCTGGAACGTTCGCAAGGGAACTTGTATACGAAGTTTTGAATGTGGCTATGCTCTATGCTGTGCATTTTTGCCGGGAGATAAAATTCTAGTGGTTGGAACAAAATCTGGGGAACTGGAGTTATTTGATGTAACTGCGACTGCAATGATCGAGAGTATCAAAGCACATGAAGGTGCCATTTGGAGTTTACAAGTACACCCAGATGGACGTTCTGTGGTATCCGGAAGTGCAGATAAGTCAGCTAAATTCTGGAACTTTGAGGTGATTCAGGAGGAGATCCCCGGAACCACACGAAAAACCCCAAAATTACGACTCGTCCATACCAGAACATTGAAAGTATCAGATGATATCTTGAGCTTGAGATTTTCACCAGATGCACGTTTGTTGGCTGTGGCCCTCCTGGACAATACCGTCAAGGTTTTCTTCGTCGATTCTCTAAAGCTCTTCCTAAATTTGTATGGTCACAAGTTGCCCGTGCTTAACATGGATATTTCTTTTGATAGCAAGCTCATTGTTACTTGCTCTGCTGACAAGAATATACGCCTTTGGGGTCTCGATTTCGGAGATTGTCATAAAGCTTTCTTTGGACATCAAGACAGTATTTTACAAGTCGCATTTATTCCACATAGTCAAGATGGCAATGGACATCATTTCTTCAGTACTAGTAAAGACAAAATGATCAAGTACTGGGATGGAGACAAATTCGAACAAATCCAAAGATTAGATGGTCATCACGGTGAAATCTGGGCTTTGGCGGTCAGTCGAACAGGTGACTTCTTTGTCAGTGCAAGTCACGATAAAAGTATTCGAGTGTGGGAACAAACTGACGAGCAAATATTCCTCGAGGAAGAGAAGGAGAAGGAGTTGGAAGAGTTATATGAATCAACTTTGACAACATCTCTGAATCCTGATAAGAACGAGGAAGATGATGATAATGAAGTTGGAGCCGCCGGAAAACAAACAACCGAGACTCTCATGGCTGGAGAAAAGATTGTCGAAGCTCTTGAGATCGGTACTGCCGATCTGGAACTAATGGCTGAATATGAACTCGCGAAAGCCACTAATCCTAATACCGCTCCTCCAGCCCGCAACCTCCTTTTCATGGCTCTCGGTAATATCAGTGCCGAAAGACATGTTCTCAATACTCTCCAGAAAATCAAAGCCGCAGCTCTTCACGACGCATTGCTCGTTCTTCCATTCTCTACTCTCCCCATGCTCTTCACATTCTTAAATATTTTTGCCCAAAAAGAGATGAACATACCACTTACATGTCGAATATTATTCTTCATGTTAAAGACACATCAAAAACAGATTGTTTCAAGTAAAACTATGAGGACTATGTTAGATGGTGTTAAGGAGAACTTGAGAAAGAGTTTGAAGAGACAGAAGGATGAGATGGGATTTAATTTGGCAGCTTTGAAGATTACTGGAGAGAGAGTCAAGGATATGGGGTCTAAGGATTATGTGGATGAGGAGACTTGGGAGGAGGACGATGGATCGAGTAAGAAAAAGAGAGGATTTGTTCAAGTTTCTTAAGATGTTTGAATTTAATTGTGGCAATTCGTGGGTGTAGATTTAGGCGGACATCAAAAATGTAAGATGTACAAATTATGGTCAAAATGGTAGTGTGGTGGGAAAATTCGATGGCACTTATTTGCATAACCATTAACTGTAGAAAAGAATGAGATGCGTTATACCAATCCAGATTGCAGCCAAGTAGTAATTCCCTAAGTTTTATGTTCGCAATTTTCAAAGCAAATGAACCAAAATACGCATTTCAAAGAAGCCCGAAAAAGAAGGCATATCTCGAGTTGAACTTTGTGAGAATGTCTAGTTGCTTCGATCAGTATCGACTGGAGTTTTGAACTTGTACCCCCTTATTGTACGTAGATACTTGTGTGTTAAAGCATATTTGTTCTATTCAATTCTGGAAATTGAGATCTTATTGTTCTATTTCATCTTAGACTTTCTTATTTATTCCAGAGTATCTATCACCAGTGGATGAACGAACTGACGGGACACTGCAAAAAGTGGACTTGTGAATATTTCTTTACATGTCGATTTTTGTATTCCGAAAATCATCAAAATCATTTATTAGAGATGGAATAATCGTTGTACGAATTCCAATAACAAAAAATTGAAGGATGGATTTATTAAAAATTTCGAAAGCTGAGAAGTGTTCTGTCAATACATGCACCTATTGATGTATCTTCATTACTATAAACTCGAAGGAGATAGCTCTCTGTCAGTCTTCATCCCTCTGGATGTTTCGATGAAGTGTTTCTTTGAACTTCGAATGATCTAGATTCATAATGATTGTTACGAGAGGATGCGTGCCAAAATGTCTTTCTTTTCCTTTCAAAGCCTAACACATAGATCTAATTTTTGCGTTTCAAAGCAAAACGTAAAGAAAAAGCAGAATCAAAAAATGGTAGCAGTCCGTGAATTCCATATTCTGAATAATATAAAGAAAAGAGGTATTATTTAATACCTTTCTCGTGTACAACAACTCCAACACGTCATTTCACCCCAAACGAAAATGTCATCTTCACCCCCTTCCCGTACTCCAGTCCTACGTCTCCGTCCGCTGTCCGAATCTGAGAATCCCTCTCGAGATTCCATACACGCCAACGTCGCCAGGGATGTCGCAAGATATTACAAGAAAGCAGGATCGGCATCGAGTCCGATCTCTTTCGATATTGGACCAGCGTATCACCCACGATTCAACCACCGGAATTCCTGGGAACTAGAGTCTCCTAAGAGATCCGAACCCAATTCACCAATCGAGCCATTTTTGGCTTCTCCCCATGAAAGTCGCCCTTCCTCTCCGGTGGGATCGACGGGTAGCATGGTTACTCACACTTCCTCTCAGACGGACGACTCATCCACAGAATCTGGAGACGCTGCACCGAGAAACGAGGATTCAATCAAAGAGCGAGACGAAGCAACTGAACGCTGCTCCAATCTCCTTGAACAACTCTTGATGGAAAAGTCAAAAAGCTTAATCTTAGAAAAGGAAAGAGATGACGCAATTCTCAGTGCGGCAGAAACCAAGACGAAGTACGAAATCATAGAGAAGGAAAACGATGATACCAAGCGCAAATTATGGGAGATGCGGTATCAGCTGACCAAATTGGAGAAGAGGAAGACGGGACTTTTCGCCGGCGAGAAAATAGCGTTGGTGCAGGCGGAGAGAGATCAAGCTATTTTGCAAGCAGAGGCGAGTTTGAAATTGCAGAAGCAAGCGGAGAAGGAAAAGTATGAGGGAAAGCAACTTATCGTTGAAGTTGCAGAGTGGCAGAGCGAAAAAGTGGAGGAGATCAATGAAGCGAGACGAGTCGCAGCCAAGAGATTTGAAGATATGGAGTTGGCAGAAAGAGAAAGAGATGAGGCATTGCAGCTTGCATCTGAGAGATTGAGTCGAATGAATGACGCGCAGCGAAATGCATTGGTGAGATTGAGAGAGATGCAGCTGGCGCAGAAGGAAAGAGATGATGCCCGACAACATGCAGCAGAGAGCTTGGGGAAATGGATTTGCTTGGAACAGAAATATGAAGAAGAAAAGCATGAGGTCCATTTACTACGAACGGAGATAGAGAGGATGAAAGAGGAGAAGAAGAGGCGAGGTTACTGGACATATTTCCTTGGTGCATTGTTCGATTGAGAGTATTTTGGGCAACGGTGCTCATGCTTTACTTTTTTTTCGAGTCTTGTTGCATAGGTATCTCAAGGCTTTTTCACATTCATTTAGCGAGAATTTCATCACACTCTTCTCTCAATACGCACGCAATAGAATGATTTTGTTACATTTGTCATAATTCAATAAATGTTTTGACGTTTCTTTAGTGGTGAAATCCAGTATCAAAATGTATCTGTTAAGTCAATGTGATGCGATTGTCCAAGACAATAATTCTAGAATCTCAAAGAGATTTCATGTATGATCCTGTCCTCTCACGAAGCTACGTAGATATGTCTAGAACATTTCTTCTTGAACGTTCTTCTGATTCTCCATATAATCCTCAAGATTCTACAATGCACTTCTCAATAATTTGAAACAATAACACAACATCTATTCAAAACTATAATGAGACATCATAGATTTAAACTCCTATAAAGACCCTCGATGAGTTCCCATTGTTTCTTACTGCATACTTCTCAGCACTCTCTACCAAACATACATACATCAAAGAATAATCACAATGCCAGTCACAAACCCAGTCCCAGTCTCGGACTCAACCCAACCTCCCACAACAACTTTGGAATCAACTTCAACTTCGTCATTGACAGTCGTACCAGCAACATACACAGAGAACTCGGTAGCTCAGTTGTCAACTAGGATACCACTTGTACCTCGACGATGGCGATCCCTGGATTCGACTACAGGTAACATCAACAATGGCCGTAATTTAGAGAAAGAGAGATTAGAGAAGATTGATTTTCTTCTTCGAGAAATCTATTACGTAGAGCAAGAATTGAAGGGCGCGGAAACAAGAATATTGAAGCTTCGAGATGAGCTGTATGCGTTGGATGAAATAGAATGGAGTGTTCAACGTATTGAAGATTTCTTAAGGAAACTGGAATGGATAAAGGAAGAGAGAAAAGAGGTCCAAGGAGAAGGGAACGAAGAAGCTGGAAGCGATGGATCTTTTAAAGGGGAAGTAGAAAGAGATACTAGTAGTTGAATAGCTGGAAAGGATGATTAGGAAGTAGACATACATTTCGAGGTAGAATAATGAGATAGAATTGCAGTCAAAGAATCTACTTGTGCTACATGCTATACCATCTTTGTTCCCAATGGTTGAAAGGACACAGTTATCAAAATTCAATTGACGCAGTGACAATCAACTGCCCTCGGTCACATGGTATTTTACTTTCAGAACGAATTGCAGATCTCGCAGGTATCAGGAATAGGATACCGAATATCATACGGTGTATTTCGATGATTACAAAAACTGACCTCTGATTGTTCGATTCAGGGTGTCAAATAGTCCTTCTAGCCTACAGTCCAACTACCAAGAACGTTGAATATCCAATCCTTTCTGAACAATAAAATCATTTCGTGCATTGAGATAATCTTAATGTTTGAATTGATCCGAAAGAATGAATTTATGACATCGATAGATGTACTTTCAAAATCCTCAAAATAGAATCCTATTAGACTACAGTCTGGACTATTGGAAGCACTGGAAATTTATGTAAAGCCAAGACTATTAGAAACCTCGAGTTGGTATTTCTATAGAAGTTTAACAAAATAAGAATAATATACAATGATCATATCCAGCGCCCCCTTCCATACATGGACAACCCAACCCATCACCATAGTCAATCATCTCCAAGCCCCTCTCCGCATGTCACAATCCCCATCATACAATCTAACAACCTCCTTATCTCTCATCTCAACCCCTCTAAGAAGGAATCTTGAATCCACCCCAATTCAAACGCGAAAATGCACCCAGAGGATCATATTTCTCCCTAATCGTGATCATCTTCTCCACATTTTCCGCTGGCATGGTAGAAAATGGATCTTGCCATCCTCCAGCATCACCCATATAGATGAAATCTGTTTCGTCGCTGGAGACATTGTTTGCAATAGCAAAGTTATGGATTTCTCCCATGACTTTTTGAATCCATGTTGTCATGCGGAGATCGTCTTGTGCTAAATCCCAGCCGGTGCTCATTTGCCACCCTTTTTAATGTTAGTATCTCTTCAAATCGAATAGGGATTTTTACAAAAAAGAGAAGTGACTCACAGATTTCAGATTCAGTGTCATCTCTTCCCCATACGTTGCCAATACCGTTGGTTTTTGCGATAGTGTTGGCGCTTTTAGGATCAAGATTTGTGACGAAAGTTGGGTAGAAACCAACAACATCTTTAACATCTTCGACTGCAGCTTTCCACATTTGCCACATTTGATAGAGAACAGTTCCATTTGGTTTCATGGAATGAACAGCAAATTCGACTCTGGAGTTATACATTAGCAGTGATCATTTCATGACAGATTGTGTGAAACTTACCGGAACATTTGCAGAGGGGAGTCGAGTTGTGCTGCAAAAGTAGCCATTGAAGAAACATTATTTATAGATTGTAATGCCGGGATTGCGGTAAAGTTTTCGAATCTAGATGGTGGACTTTCGGTTCCAGCTTGAACACCTAGAAGGGATGCTGACATAGCTCCTGTAGTGGCATTGTAGGTAGTAGTAATAACTGCTCCAGCTGCAATCGAAGGATCGTTATTGGCAGCCAAATCACAGGTAGCTTGAAGGAAAGCTTCAATTCCACTTTCGTCGAATACTTGGATCGTAGTGCTGACGAGAGGGATATCGAATGTGTTGAGTGTGAATTTGGTGACGACACCGAAATTATTGGCACCACCTTTCAATGCCCAGAAAAGATCGGGGTTGCAATCTGCGGATGCTTTGACTTGAGTACCATTTCCAAGAACAACATCATAGTTCACAACGTTATCCATTGCATATCCATACTTGTTGTTGAAGTAATGGACACCACCGATAAGAGTAAGACCAGGAACACCAATGGTTTTCAGACGACCCCCAATGACAATACGACCATAAGGTTCGAGATAAGAGTAGACATCATACCATCTATTACCTGGACCAACATCCACAGTGGTATTATCGGCGGAAATCTGAAGGTCATTAAGGCCCGCAAGAGCTACCATTACACCAGCATTGATATTGTTGGCTCCAGGGAACTATGAAATCGTCAGCGGAAGACTCCTAACCTCAAATGTACTAAGAACTTACATTCATATGACCCCCACCACGAATAGCAAATTGAGCATCACAAGTACTGATAATTCCTACTCCCGCTGCCACTTGATCGGCATTGATAGGACTGAAGATACAAGCCGGGTCCGCATTAGTTCTGATATCCCATGCCTCAAGGTTGTAGTAAGTGTAGTTTGAGGTGTTTGGAAAGTAGAGGTACTCCGGATAACTAGATGAGAGTTGAGAGCATGCACATGCTGAAGCTTCCGAATAGGTAAAGGTTCCGTAATCGGTCGTTACAGTTGTCCCTGCAAGGGAGGTTGAAACATTAGAAGCTGCGTAAACAGCTCCTACGAAAGTAGATCCTGCGAGTAGCAAGGAAAACATGATGAAGAGAGAAAAAACCGATTAAAGAAAGTGATAGACTGAAAGATAAAGTTGTAAGCTGTTGTGATGAATGAGGAAGCCGAATAGAAGTTTCTTATATATTTCCTTCTGAAGACATGCATATTTCTTTCCAGAACGAGTTTTCCATCTAATATTACCCAGAGCCACCTTCCAAGGCACAAATTATGGCTATGTACTAGACTGACAGGATGTTCTACTCAGATCTTCTACTCAAATTGCTAAGATGCGAATACCCTCGCATTCTCGCATTCTCACATTGAGGCGCATTACGTTCAAGTTAGCAAATAAGAAGAATCACGAACCGTCAATCTAAAGTGATGAACAGAATAAAGAGAACAAACCCCAGAAAATGGACCATAATTGACTAGTTGATATGCATCGTATTCGGACTGACGCATGGAAGATCACTAGTCAGGGGAATATCGGAGGATTCGCACATTTGGGTATGGTCCGAGCTGACCGACCTTTGACGTCGACGTCCGATCATTTGAGATATATCTGGGGATGACTACCATCTTGCCAGCTGAAAGTTTCGATATTGCATGTGTCAGTTTGATTATAACTTTATAATCAATTTTGATGTAACGTGGAAGATTCAATGGTAATGCCACAAGGAAATAGTTAGTCAGACAAGCGTCGGGTTATGCATAGTCTACCGAAGAGTATTCTACTTTTGACATAACTATCACATCAAGAATAGAATAAAACATGTCATTATGTATAGTTTAATAGAAATCCATGGTCCTATTAGTTGTGACATTTCTGGATATAGTACTAAGTCATAAGTTTATATCGGCTTGAGAAGTATACTTCACTCGCTTCAATGCAGACGGCACCCCATCATTTCCTATCCTTTTGGTTTTCTTTTGATGTTCTTTAACCTATGACATGGAAAGATCACTATGATCTGATACCAGGTATTGTTACCATGTAACAGCACAATTGATATGCTCATCATACCACAACCCTATTACCAGATAACAAACGAACAATCCGCATCTAGACCATCACATCCCAAAATCCAATCCTAAGCGTACCAAAATCCCAAAGTCTTGGTAAACTCATCGAGCAGGCGGAATAAACCCATCAAAGCACAACAAGGAGTTCCCAGTGCGTGCCGTGGTACACAAGCAGATATAAGATCTTACAAGATAATATACCCAGATTGATCTCTTCCCTCTCACCATCATAGCTTTAAACTTCAGGTTATCTTCTCATTCGGATAAGGTTATCATGAGAAATCTCGGGTAACCTATAGTATTAAGCTAACCTAGATGAAAGATTCGCTCGAATACCTACCTATAGATAGTATAAAGGGGCAGCCAACATCTCGCTGCACGTATACATCCGAATCTTAAGAGAAAACCTTTAGTTCTTCTTTTTATCAATCATAACTACCTGGGTAGATAATCATCTTTTCTATTACCACAACACAACACAACACCCCCTTTTCCGTACCTGAAGATTTCCACTCTATAATAATAACAAAAACTCAAGATTTGGTGTATACAGTTCACAACTCTATCTACCTACCTACCTACCTACCTACCTACCTATCTCCACATATCAAATCCCCGAATAGATTCCTCCCAGAGATCTCCTCTCGTCCGAAAGCTTCAAGTTATTATCCAACCCCCATCCAATCATTCTCATCATTGGAAATACTCACTTCACTTCATGTCAGATATCGTATACGTATTTCTTCAGAGTTGAGAGTCGAAGATTTATATATCATAACATCACTTACATCCAATAAGAATCTATTCGGCCTCCACGGCAGTGGCTCCCGGAGGGCCAGCGGAGCGTCAGTTGGAGATGAATGAATATAGAGTATCAAGTATCAAATAGTGTTTGTTGATTTGGATATCGTTCAATTAGAATTATCTATCTCATCCTACTCCATCCCATTCCATTCCATTCCATTGCACCCCTTCCTCTTTGATTTCTATACACAAATTTTATCGTCGTTACAATATCTCATTTCATTGCATCCAATACACCCATCATGAAAATGACATTCAAACGCCTTCCAATAACCCAACTACCCATCGCCAATCTATGAAGAAAAAACCCCCCTCATTCTCACTTCTCCTTTCTCCTATCATCTCTACCACAACCTCTCCCTACCACCTCTCTCAAAATCAAACCCTCTCCCACCATCCCTTGCCAACCTCTCACTCGCTCTCCTTCTCCACGGACTAGCCGTCGCCGTACTAACTCTATGCAACTCCGCATATTCAATGTCTTTATTCATATCCTCTTCATTCAATTCCTCTAATCCCTCGACAATAAATGTCTCATCCATTTCTCCTATACCTTCCATGGTTTCCAATGCGCCAAATGCACTCATGTCAATGTTATTTGATTGTAAGCCAGCCCATGGTTCGGAGCCGTTATTCCCCATTGCGAGATCCATGTCCATACCAATATCAAAATTCATAACCGCATTGGCATTATTGAATGGTGACAAAGCAGATATACATGAGCCAGCAATAGTTGCTAATGGCGTCGAAGGATGATTTGAGAGGAAATCCATGTTGTTGGATGAAGAGGTGTTAAACTCTAAACCCAAATCCATATCTGTATTGTTGAGTAATTCCTCATCAAAGGAAGCCAATAAATCATCATCGTTAAGGAAAGCCGGTGTTTGATGTGTTGAAAAGGAAGGGATTGATTGGGCTTGTGGTTGATAAGTTTGAGTTTGAGTTTGCGAATTTGGCGAAGAACTTGTTGAATAAACCCCATAATGGGTTTTAAATTTCTCCAAAAGTTGGCTATCATCCGCAGCCGTATTTGGCACATTCAAAATCTCTCTTGCTTTAGCCCTGAACAACTCATCGGATGGAACGCGCCCTTGTGCCTTTTCCGTCTTGACCAGATCTAGTAATGCTTCTTCCAGTTCTCTCGAGCAAAACACCTGTGCGGGCATCTTATATCGTTGTTTAAGACTTTTGATGTATCCATTTGCGGTTTTTCCTCTCAATTTCACAATCTTTTCACTTTCATCCATATTGGCAAGATTGACTTCGAACTCTGTTGTATCGCATGCCTTGATGTCTTTTCCTGGATTTAGATAAGGTGGGCAAAAGCCTGTGCCACCCAAAGAAACCTTCCAGGAGAGATTTCCCGTCGGAAGACCTGGTCCGGATTCTTGTGGTGAGAGACCAGCATCGCGTTTGAATCGCATTAGCCATTCGGCATTGTCTGCTGCGGTTTGATTCCATGGGTCATCGTCATCATAAATCACCCAGCGAGCTTGGTTTTGAAGTTCGGCGTCTGTTGGTACCTACTGAATGTTAATACACCAAAAGAGAATATCAAGGATTAAGGTGAGCTTACATGTTGATTTGGATTGTTTGGTGACATACATCTTGCCACAAATCTGGAAAGCTCTCGGACTAACCGAATATAACAATTTGCATCGTTGAGAAAATATTTTAAAGGTTGTGCAGGGTTAGAGTTTGCCGACGGCTGGTTGGATGCTGTGAGTGTATGAATAGGCTGATTGTACTTAGTGTTTGGTGAAGCTCCTTTACTTCCTTTACTTCCTGGACGACTACGAGTTTCATAGTTCTCCAATTCCCAATGTAATGTTCGTGATGGAGACGATGTAGCTTGCCCAGGAGAATTAATGGCTGTTGGGAACATAATGGAAGGTTTGTTTTCTGCAGCTGGCGCAAGTCCGTTTCTGGTCTTGAATATGTGAAGATACAATGGATCGTCGGCCCAAGTTTGATTCCATTGATCATCACTTCCATAAACGATAAGTCTAGCATGTCGTTGAAGATCAGAATCTGCAGGCTTTATACCCAACGCAGCTTGAAGTTGCACATAATCTTTCATCTCTGCTTCGAGTCTTGCGTAGTTGTGTATGGCATGATCAATGGAAGTTTCATCCTTTGATCTTACTCCTTCGTTAGCCATTTCAGAACTCCTAGGCAAGCCCGCACGTCTTCTAAAATCAGCGAGCCAGGAGGTTGAGTTCTTTATCAAATATTTGAACCAAGAAACAGCACCTTTGCAAGGTAATGTAGCTGTTAATTCGGCTTCATCAATAATTCTGCATGCTTCAACTTGTAACTCAGAATCCGTAGCAGTTAGACCAAGCATTTGTCTTGAATCGACGTAACTTCGTAGGGCTTGTTCCTTTGGACATTGATGAATTGATGATGTTGCACCAATTAATGAATGTTGAGCTGTTTCGAATGGTTTCTCTCGAGTCATTTCAAGTGTATCTTGTTCATCTGCTTCGTAGTTATCCGAACCAGAGAACAAGATCAGATCTCGTAACCAAGATCTATCGGGATATTGTGGTGGATCCGAGACAGCATCCAGATTGCGAATTATTTGACGAGCTATACCGAGTAATTCTTCATCTGTAGGAGTTATGCCTTGTACAACTTTATCATTGACGTATTGTGTGAGGCCACTCTTGACCAAATTTTCTGGTGTACGATCTTCGTTGTAAGGATCCTGGGAGGCTTCGAAAGGTCGTACGGTCATTCGCTCTTCATGAATAAGATCTATTGTAAAGTCAGTGATTACGAATGGAGAGATTAGAAAAGGGAAAATAAACTTACAGGGAGGAATTCCGTTTTCAACAATGTTAAGAATTTGTGGTTCAAAACCCCAGTCACCTTTCCAGTCAACCATACTTTTACCACTTTTGAAATGTTCTGCCAGATGATCCACTCTAGCAGTCCAAGAATCCATTACAATTCCACAGAAACCACATCTAGAACGTATTTCCGGTGTGATAGCTTTCCAACTTTCCATACTCCAACTAGCAAATTTTACATCATGAACAAGGTTGAGATGTTGACGTAGGTGATCTTTCCGGTAGAATGTCCTTTCTCCAATTGGCTTTTCAGCACAACTTGAATGGTTATGTGATTCTGCATGAGCGGCGGATGGGTTCGGATGATCACAATACACGCAACCTGGACGTTCGAATTCTTTGTTGTACTGTATGGGTCCAT